GAGGGGGCTGGAGAGACGGCTCAGTGGTCTAAAGCACCTACTTGGAACAAACTTGGCAAAGAACAGGGACCGTGGTTCGATCCCCCAGCACCACATGCCAGCCAGCCCTGCCCCCTGGCGGGCTGAGCTGGCCACACACACACACAGACACACTAAATAAATGTAAAAAGGGAAAAAAAAATTAAAACAAAAAAAAAGCTTAAAATCAGGAGTGAGACAAGGGTATCTACTATCACCACTCCTGATCAGTACAGTTCTCAAAACATTAACAAGAGCAGTTCGCCTGCTTCAGCAAATACAGGGACTGAGTTTCCTTTTGATCATCCCCAGTGCACAGGGCTGGCCTGTGTCTAGGGCACACTGAGACAGCGCTTGAGACTGGGCATGGTGGTACGCATCTGTGATCCCAGCGCCTGGGACGCTGAAAACAGGAGGATCTCAAGGAATCTGATCTGTGTAGTGAGACACTGTCGACCCTGTATATATTAAAAAAAAAAAAAATTGAAAAAAAATTGAAAAAAAATTGAAAAAAAAAAAAAGCCAAGAGCAATTAGGCAAGAAAAATAAATAGGCTTGTATCAAAAAAGAAGTCAAATTATTACTATTTGCAGATGACATGATCATCTATATAGAAGACCCTCAAATTTCACCAAAGTACTCTTAGAATTAAATAACCAAATTTAGCAATGCTTCAGGATACAAAATCTATACATAAAAATCAATACTATTCAATACTAATAATTAACTCATTGGGCTGGTGAGATGGCTCAGTGGTCTAAAGCACCTACTTAGAACAAGCTTAGTAAAGCACATGGACCGCGGTTCAATCCCCCAGCACCACATACCAGCCAGCCCCGCCCCCAGGCAGGCTGAGCTGGCCACAGACACACACACACACACACACACACACACACACATATACACACACACACAAATAAATAAAATAAATAAATTAAAAAAAAATAATTAACTCATTAAGAAAGAAATTAGGAAAAATATTCACAATAGCACCAATAAAAGTTACTTAGGAATTAACCTAACCAAAGAAGTGAAAGACCTCTACAATGAACACAGTGATACTCTGAAAAAGGAAACCAAAGAGAACATCCAAAAATAGAAAGATATCCCTTGTTCCTGGATAGGCAAAACCAGTATAGCCAAAATGGCCATACTTCCAAAATTGATTTATAGATTGAACACAATATCAGTCAAAATACAGTATTTTTCATAGAACTGAAGAAAACAATCCTAAAATTTATATACAAGCAAAAGAGACTCAGAATAGCAAAAGCAACCATAAGTAACAAGCAGGAGACATCGCAATCCTGGACTTCAAGTTATACTACAAAGCTTAATGCAGTTTAAAACAAACAAATATAGCATGGTAGGACAGGCCTGGTGTTGCATGCTTATAATCCTAGCACTTGGGAGACTGGAGTAGGAGGATCACTGTGAGTTTGAGGCTATCTTGGGATATATAGTGAATTTAAGGCAGTCTAAACTACATAGCGAATTTTCACTTAATTCAATGAGAAGAAAGAGGTGTACTAACAGTGTTTGGACAGAATATCCTGTCTGCATCTTGTACTATGGATAACCACTAAGAAGACAACAATGTACAGTGTATTGGCTATCAAAACGGTCCTATTAATCAGCTGTGAAACTGTCTCATGCCTATTTATTTCTCAATAAAAATAAACTACATAGCGAGATCTCATCTCAAAAAAAAAAAAAAAAAAAAAAAAAACCAGCATGGTGCTAGCACAAAAACTGATGAGTCAATGAAACAGAATAGAGAATGCAGAAACAACACTAAGAACATTCAATTTTCATCTCTGACAGGGACCAAAAAACATACAATAGAGGAAAGCTGTTGTCTTTAATAAATAAATGAGGGAAAAAATGGCCATGCACATGCAAAAGATTAAATCTAGACTGATATCTCTCAGAACACACTAAAATCAAAATGGATCAAATAACTAAATGTTAAAACAAACACTTTTACCTACTAGAATATAAAACAGATAAGACTCTTGAAGTCATAGGTACAGGCAAAGACTTTCTGAACAGAATCCCAGTTATGTAGAAACTATTACCAAGAATCAAAAAAATGGGATCATATTAAATTAAAAGGCTTCTCTGCACAGTAAAAGAAATAATCAATAGAGTAAGCAGATAACCTGCAGTGGGAAAAATTTGTGTTATTCCTCAGAGAGAAAACTAATATGTAGAATATATAGAGAACTCAAAGAGACCGCTCCCCCCCCAAACAAAAAAACGGGCATGTGGATTTTGTGCAGTCAAGACCTGCAAATAGGGGCCAGGGAGAGAGCCCAGTGGAGTAAGTACTAGCCTGGCAAGTGCAAGGTCCTGAGCTCAATCCCCGGTAGGGGGGGGGGGACCTGCAAATAAAAAGGAGTGCTGGCTTCCACAGGAGGAGCCGTGACAGGGCCAGTGGTATCACCTCAGCTGAGGTGACTGGTGGGATCTGCTGAGGATTCAAGATGACCAATAAAGAACCTCTTCCCAAAAAGTTTCAACTGAAACAGACTTCAGAGTGATGGCATGAGATGAGTTTATTCCAAGATGGAAACACTGTGAAGCATATGTTCAAGCTTTGGAGGGCTAATACACAGTCCTTACCTCATATGATGAGGAATCTGAAGAAAAGTTAAAACAACATCAGTGTTGAACACAGGGAAAACCTTTTAATGTGACTAGCAGCTAAGCAACAAGAGGGCATCACTTAAATCCAGCACCTCAAGCAAATCCAGAAGCTGAGTACTGCCCAACTGAGATCAACGATGGTAGACCTGGTGATCAATTTGTTTTTCCGAAAAATGAAAAGTGAACTGTAACAGAATTAAAGCAAGCCCAAAATGAATTAAGTGCCTGGAAATTTACACCTGGTAAGTATACAAATCACACAAGGCAAGATTTCTCTGACAGCCCCACCATAAAAAACCTGCAGTGGGATAGCCAAGCAGTCATCTTCACAACACCCAGGCTTTTGAGCAAAACAAAAAAGCCACAGGGAGGCAGCGCTTTCTCACATGCAAAGGGGACCGACAGATGGGGGGTGAGAAAAGAAAGCTACTACATACACCAACTCCACAAAAGGAATGTAAAATTATATACAGTACTACAAATGTGTAATAAAATTAAAGAAAAAGGCAAAAAGAGAGGGAGGGAAGGAGAGGGGGAGGGGGAAAGGACGCAGCGGGGGAGAGCGCTCAAACCAGCTACAACCCGCCAGAGCGCGACCTCCGGGCCGGTGGGCGGGGCAAGGCCAACTTCCGGCGAGTGTCGCTGCGCGCCCCCTGGGAGAGCTTCGCCTGGTCGGGCGCACTTCCGGCGCGCAGGCGCAGACGCAGGCGCAGGCGGCTGCTCCTCGGGATCCCCGGGCTACCTGGCCGCTGGGCGCAGGTCTGGGCTGGAGTTCTGCGTGTGGGCTTCACGGGAAGGCGCCCCCCAGCCTCGGCGCGGGGTGAGCGGCCGAGATGCGGCTGGGCCCCGGAGCTTTCGCCGCCAGTTGCGTGGCGATCGAGGTGCTCGGGGTCGCGATCTTCCTCCGGGGATTCTTTCCGGCTTCCGTCCGTTCCGCTTCCCCGACGGGGCGCCTCGCGGAGCCCGCGGCGCCCGAGCCCCTGGCTGGTATGGATCTCCCTGCCCGGTGTCTCAGGCCCCAACACCGCTTCCCACAAAGGAATCGGTCTGGGCACAGGCGCTGCCCGAGGGTCTCTCCCGTCACAGTCCTCACTCTTAAAAACCTGTTTCACTGTCCGGCCTTTTTGTTTTGTTTTTCCTCAGTGCTACAACTTGGTGGCCGCCGCCGCCGCCGCCCTCCCCGCCCTCGTCTTCCTCCTTCGTTATTACAAAGTTAACTCCTCTTAGCCAGGCTCGCGCTCTCCCGCTCCGATCCTCCAGTACCCTTTCCCGGTTTCCTGTGGAGACCTTTGGGTCATTTCCAATTCGAGGCGCCTTTTTTGCCCTGTAGGACACAACAAATAAAATCCTGCTGCGGAGCTCTTGCGTTTTCTGTCACTTCTTTCCTCCAAGACTCTCCCGCGGTGACGCTAAGGCCAGTGTGCGTGAGGGCTTGTCCTAGCTCTGCAGTCTCACGTTCTTCAGCTCTGGGCTAGTCCCACTCGGTGCCAGCCTTGGCTGTGCTGACACAGCTCATGAGCCCGCCCATTCCCGCACTGCGGGGCCTCTTTCACCTCAAGCTCCCTAAATGTATCTGGGGATCCCTTCAAGTAGGGGTGCCCTCATTGCCACACCACGGATCATTCACCCACTTCTTACTGGAACTGCCTATGCTTGTACTCTCCATGCCTTGCCCCACTGCCGGTAATGTCTCCCAAAAGCGAGCGCTGTGCGGTTGGTATACACAGATGGCTGTGTTGGAAAGCAGCCAGAAGATAGATTATGAAGGTGTTTGGATGCTAAGTAAAATTTAAGATTTTAAAGTAGAAATTTTAAACTCCCTTTTTCTTAAAATATAAATTTTAAATTCCCTTTTTTCTTTTTTCAAACACTTTTAGGAGCCAGTTCTAACTGGACCAAGTTGCCACTACCTCTGTTCAGTAAAACTGTTATTGTGCTGATAGATGCCTTGCGAGATGATTTTGTGTTTGGATCAAAAGGTGCAAGGTATATGCCTTTTACAACTTATCTCATGGGGAAAGGCCCATCTCACAGTTTTGTGGCTGAAGCAAAGCCACCCACAGTTACTATGCCTCGAATCAAGGTAAGTTTAGTTTGATGTTTTATGAATAATGGTTTTTCCTTCTTCAGAAGTTTAGAGGAATTCTCCAGGCTTCTAGTTGAAATTTCAGGGGGAGGTTTTTTTTTTGCTTGTTTTGTTTTGTTTTTTGAAACCAGGAATGGAACTCAGGACTTTGTACTTGGCAGTCAGGCAGTGTGCTACTGAGCAATATTCTCAACCCTGGGGTTTTAGTTTTAACTGTGTAGAAATTAGTTTGCAGCTATCAGTTATGCTAGGGTGATAGAATGCTGAGGGAGTCTTATAGACAGAACAGGATTGAGACTCATGATTTGTGCCTCTTGTCAAGTATCCAGGGCTTATGTTTTATGGAAAATAGAAAAGACTCAGCTAGATCATCCATTCCAGCATAACTCAGGAAACTACTCCATGCTTGAGTCAATGGGTTAGTTACAACCCTAGAAGGAACATAAATAAGGTCATCCAGTAAGTCTTTTGATTTTATACAGAAGGCAAACTCGGGTTAACTTGCCCACAATTATACTATATCACAAAAAGTGATCTGACTGTACTCTTAAGTCCTGCAGATGCATCATTAGTGTTGGCCACCATCTTCACTGCCTGGTCTAGCTGGAAACACAGATGTCTCCTATATCTCCTCCTGCCCAGGTCACGGCCAGCCTCTGTCTGACCACAGTGCTGCTGCTATCATATAGCCTGTGGTGGCCAGGTATGTTGGCCTCTATAATCGCAGTTACACAGGAAACTTAGGTGAGAGGATCCTAAGTTCAAATCTCACCAGAGTAACTTAGTGAGATCCCATCTCAAAAAAAGAAAATTAAGGGCTGGCCAGATAGTTCAGAGGCTTAAAGCACCTGCTTAGGCAGAGCACAGCAGCCAGGTATCCCCAGCATGCCCCATCCTCAGGGCATGCTGAGAGGGCAATTGAAACTGGACATGATGTTTCGCATCTGTAATCCCAGTGCTTGGGAGGCTGGAAACAGGAGAATCACTATGAATCTGATCTATGTAGTGAGACCCTGAAGACCTGTACTAAGAACAAAAAAAAAAAAAAAAAACAATTTTTAAAAAGGGATTGGTGATAGCTCAGTGTTAGAGTGCCTTGGGTTTGATTCACAGTACAGCAAAGCTGAACATCCTTCCATGGCTTAGCTTCTACCCATTTTGAACACAAGATTCCTGAAGCCCTGTGTAGCTCCGTTTATGCTCCTTCCCCTCATCTCTCTTCTACCTTTCCTGCACGCAGGCCATAGCTAGTACAGGTTCGTAGGGGCAGTATTCTTTTCTGCCTTGGGCCTGTGCAGCTGGCTGTTTTTCTCTCAAAAGCCCTGCCTCACATCTTTGACTCTTCAGCCTTCAGAACTCAGCTCAAATGGCTTCCAGAGGGTGCTACTCAAAATAAATGTCCAATAAGATGATCTTGGTTAAATATTTTATGCATCGACACAGTGCAGTATTTTAACAGCTTAAAGTATCAGTATATTCCTGATTTGTATTTTATTATTTTATTTATGTATTTTTAGATTGCACATTGTAAATAAATTATTTACAAACTTAAATAAATATAACAAAAATTGTCCAAAATAAAAATGAAGAATTTATAGATCAGTCATATAATAGTTCACTCTGTCAAAATCAAGATACTTATATTCATATAATTAGAATTCTCAAAGTAGAAAGAGGTAAGCAATAAATATTTAAAGATTTAAAACTTCTGAATTTAGTTGAACTTATAACACCACATTTCTAAGTAAAGTGAACCTTTTGCACAAGAAATTTGAATAAAGTCATACCCAGATACACAAAAATGAAATTGTCTAAAACTTATTATAAAGAAAAAAAATCATTAAAGCATATACATAAAAAAATTAGCTATGGAAGAACAAAATTAAATGGCATGTTATTCCACATTAGAAAGAAAAAAAAAAAGCCCAAGTGTGTAAGAAACAATACTAATTAAAGGACTGAAAGGAAAAAAACAGATCTTTCCTTTTTGAATTTTATACTTAGCAAACATAACTTTGAAAACTAAAAGTAGGGCTGGTGAGATGGCTCAGTGGTCTAAAGCACCTACTTAGAACAAGCTTAGCAAAGCACAGGGACCGCGGTTCAATCCCCCAGCACCACATGCCAGC